CCCACTATGGATCCTGTACTGGCTTCCAAGGGCCGCAATCCGCCAACCGTCAACCCAACACTCACGTACGCCGACGCTATGGCAAACGGGAAACAATTCGACATTCTCTGGGTGCCCGCAGGTATTTACTCCGCTTATGTTATCTGCCAGCTCCTCAGTGTGCTAACAAAAACGGACAGGGCCCGGCCCAGATTACGAAACGGGGGAGAGTCATATCCCAGAAGAAGAAATTACCTTCATTGCACAGCAGGCCCCCAAGGCTAAGTACGTGATGTCCGTTTGTCTGGGCGCCTTCCAGCTTGCGCTCGCCGGTGTCCTAAACGGAAAACGCGCCACGACGAACAAGCTGTTTTACCGCACCATCGTCGTGTGTACTAAATTCAACACCCGAAATCCCAAGGCTGATTCCGTCTCTGTTTTGAGGCTGCGACGTCAAAAGATATCGAGTGGGTCCCTGAGGCGCGATGGGTCGTAGCCGAGGGCGGAAAAGTGTGGACAAGCTCGGGCGTCACTGCAGGTGAGACTCCCAAATATTTGAATAATCAAGTGTCGGGTGACTGAAGTTGATTGAAGGTTCTGATATGGCCCTTGCCTTTGTGGAGCATCTCGCTGGCGCGAAGGTTGCGCGTCACATACGTGGCGGGTTTGAAATTCCTGAGAGGACGGAGAAGGACGATCCGTTTGCCGCCTTCCACGGGCTTGTTTAAAAGGTTACTTCACTCTGCAAGTCACAAGTTCAGTAACAGGCCGAGGGAAGTCGTTCGAAGGTTTACGTATTGGACTGGGTGTTCAACCAGAGCCTCTGCTGCAGTGTCTATGCCTTTTCAATTGTTATATCGCTCCAAATGTAATGTCGAAGATTTCAGAAACAATTATAATGAGGTTGCCGATGTTCTCTGTAACATGTTCACAGGTTCAGAAATCTACTACCTCTCGGTCCGGAATGATACAATAATGTTTGTCTTGCATGGAAGATTCAACTTCGTTTTCATTACAGAGCCCCAACAATGGTACTAGTAGTAGTTCAGCAATATTCTACAAGATTTTTTCCCACCTCTCCCAAACAAAAAATCTCCAGTTTAATGGGCAACTCGGCAGCTGATGTATCCTGGCCCTCGTTCAACGCCTCCTCCACGGCTGCGCACATACGATGATTTCGTTCTTGTTCCCTCGGCCTATCTTCAAGGTGGAAGGCGTTGTGTTCGCGAGAGCGTCCCGCTGAGTCTGCGCCGTGCGGTCGTATCGAAAGGAGACTAGCAGTATTCTGGATTGGGCACAGCATATAGCCCATCTGGCTCTATGCCAATCATATCAACCACAATGTCCTCCTCGGTGCGCTCGCTCTCTCGACGATTGCCGATTATGCGTTCCCTGATCTGCATGATCAGCAGCACCAGATCTATTCCCAATACCTGGAAATCGGTGCTGGTCAACGCCTCTTCCCGCGTGCACACCTTGATATATGCATCTTTCGCGTTGTAGCGACAATCCTCGCAGAGCTTGATTTTTTCAATGGGATCAAGGTTTTCATACCCCAGAATATGACCCCGCGCGATTCATTGTATGCGGTACATCTGCCACATATCGGCCAGCTTGAGGACGTCGCGCCAAACGGCAATATTTGCGGAGTGAGAATTGATGGACCTTGAGTTAGATTGTCAGCAAGAAGGCATATGATGGGAGACGAGCTCCTTACGGGTTGTAATACACCCAGAGGAGATGCTCCAACTCTGATTTGGTGACATCGGAGAGAGTCCATTCAGGTTCTCTTCCCGCCCCCTGTTCTTTCGGCTTCGAAAACATTTCGCGCAACACAGGAGAGTCACGGGACAGGAAGAAGCGGTGGATTTTGTATTTCGTTCCTTCGACCTGGGTCTTCTCAGTGGCGGACGAGATCGAAATCTAGATCACCCACAATCAAGTTCACATTGGCGGAATCAAACGAATCCAGCGAGCAGCTCGTGTCTGGGTACGAACTCATGTCGCAGGGAGACAAGTGTCAGGTCCGAGTATTTGAATAGGGAATACGGACCCCGCAAGAATCGTCAAGAAGCCAAGTAGTCTCACAAACTGAGTGGGTGAAGTGTTGGATTCGAGAAAACTACTGAACTACCTACACACAGTCTAATTAAATATTATTCTAATGTCCTTGTTCTAAGCTACCTTGTTCCACATATGTAACCTCCCTTGTATCCGAAACTGTATCTGCCCTTGTGTCCATAAACCGAACAACGGCCGCAGTTGAACAACATCGTCAAGTTCAACTGCCGAGTGCCGCTGATCGGGAATCACCGAGATCTCCGCATCAGCGACGCCGATAGGGCCGTATCCGTTCATAAACGATCTTCTCCACACTCCGCTTATCAAAGAGAAGATTACGTGTTTGGTCTGACTAGGGAGACTAGTATCCGTTACAACAACTTGGGGCTGAGCGTCTAAAAGAACCAATTTAGGGCACGAGGATGAGGGCGCGCAGGCCTTGAATAGCCCGCATGAGAAGATGTTGGAAGTAAGAGTCAACGATCCGTGCCAACCTAAGACATGAGTGGACAAGTTCGCGGTTTCTGGTTCGCGGTACTACTGTGCACGGCTTGAATCATGTCTGGGAGCCCAGGCGGAATTCAGTTCAAAAATAGAGCTCATCGCAATCGCTGCGCACCCAAGCAACTAAGCATGTGCGTCTGAAGAAGTGGACGAGAACACGCGGATTTTTGTGCCATAACTTGAAGATACCAGGGCGCCGGTTCTAAATAACCCTCTCGACGCTCTTAGATGAGGTTTTGAAGGCCGAAGGGCACCCATAGTCTTCCCAGAGCCTCACTCCTGCACTGGCGTCTTGGCAGGGATTGGAAATTTGCAATGCGGCACTACCGGTCGGGAGCAAGTCGGAGGAATAGACAGAAACAGCTGAAAAGCTGCCACTGAGACTGCAGGACGCTACAATGGCCAATGGTAAGAAGAGAGTCCGCCTTTGACCAGGAATCAAAAGACTTGGTAATAAAGTTGTGTTCAAGCTTGATTTCCGCTTTTCGCTCCCATGCATACTAGGAGTCATCTTAGTCGCTGAACCTTTTTTTGTTTGCTAAATTTCAAATCCTCAACATTGAATAAACGAACTCGAAAGGTTCGGGTTGAGGGTTGTCGAAAAGAGGAATCAATATCCCTTCGTTTTCCACGCTCGCTTAGAAAAAACCCACCCGCTGTCACCAAGCCCTCACTCCATGTGTTGATTCCGCAAATCATAGAAAGTGCCAGGATATAAATCTAAAATGATCCAAAGAGACATGTTAGATGGCTATCCGGATCTGTGTCAATGGAGTGTTCAGCGAATCCTTCAAAAGGTGAGAGAGCAATATCGATGTTTATTCCTATTCTCTTCCGCCTTCCTTGTGACCGGTACCTCCGCGAGGTTTAATCGTTGCACTTCTTGACGATACCGTTTATTCACCCACTTGCCATTATGTTTTGGCGATTTAGCTTCGTTTTTACCATCTTCTTCCTCGCTCTGCCCTTCGTGGTCACTGCTCAAAATCTCACGAAGTGCACCACCCCTATCCGAGACGACTGCACCTTCTACACCGATTGCCTGGAGGCAAAATACCAATGCGGCGCTGACGGCTACCCCATCGGCTACGGCTTCCACTTCTGCACCAAGTTCGCAGAGTCGAAGTCGATCCTGTCCACGGCGGGGAAAGCGTGGATCTCAGACACCATGCTGTGCTTACAGAAAGCGCTCGTTCCAGAGGCTACAGGCGCTGCGGGGGCCGTCACCACGTGCGCGGACCTGAAGACGAAGGCGTTTGCGACGCATGCGGACTGCTATGTCGACAGCGGGCTCTGCAGCCTGCCTATTAGCGACTGGGAGAAGGTCGCGGTGGACATTGTTGGGCCTGGGACGCTGGTGGAAAGTTTTGACGCGCTCAAGGCTACTGCGAGCGTCGGGGTGCAATGCACAAAATTCTTTGCTGAGCTGGTCGCTAGTGCTGTCTTCCCATTCCGGATGAGGCGTGTGAGGCGCGGTCTGTTTTGAGATGTGAGTGTACCCTCAACATTATTGTGCTCGTCCTGGACTGAGTGTTCGCAGATTTATCAATGGGATGATTAGTCGCAGCTGCCTTTGCAGTTGTATATATTCCGCCGTACCAATAACAATTGATATGATCATGGCTGGCGATCGATATTTCGACTGCCATATATTGGATTGGATTCCAGCAATTCGCAGTTTCTAGTAGTGCGGGCCTAGCACACGATTCAAGCATTACCCGCAGTCCTGAATGAATTATCACATCAGTTTATTCCCAGTTACATAGACATCACTACAGTTGTGGTTGAATAGAAAAAAAGAAGTCGGGAGACTTATGTCGGATGCGGGGAATCGAACCCCGTCTTGCGGCGTGGATCATGACCATTCTTTTATTGGTAGCCGCCGTGCGTTACACCACCCGATTCTGATATGCACATGGTGTGTGGGCCGTGGTGAATGTGAGCGGATTTCACATCTCTCATCTTGTACGAATGTGTTTGCGACTTCTAGGCTGGATTCTTTCTTCGGACTATTCAGCCACATATATGCTTCAACGGCTCATCTATATCCCCGCCTGAGATTCATTGTCACAACCATGTACGAGAGTTCAAGTGGTCGAATCAGCAAAGAAAACGACAATTTATCCAGTCAAGTACTAAAAGGCACAACCCCTCGACGCAAATGTCGGACGCGAGGAGTTGAACCCGGTCCTGCAACTGAAGTCGGATTTTCGTGCGGTAAAATTAGCTGCCGTGCACTTTCCACCACACTCGATTCTTGTATTGTATGTGAGCCGCGATGAGCGTCAGACTATGCTATCTAATGTTGCGGCAAGTTACCCGGTAACACATTTGTGGGATTCTTTTCTTCGAACCATCAATTGATGCGCTCCCATATTGTGTTGAACCGACAAAAGAACGAGAATCATTTTCTGTCGGTAAAAAGTAAAAGAACCACACAACATTGTATTGTCAAATTCGGGTGCAGGGAATCGAACCCCGTCCTGCAGCTTAAACGACCTATGCTTCCGTAACGATCAATATTAGCTGCCGTGCGCTTTACACCACACCCGATTCTTGTGCTGTGGTGGGTGTGAGTCGATTTCCCGCTATCATCCTGAATCGATATCTTAATACTCATGTTGTGGTAATTAAACAGGATTCCTTTCTTCGAACCGTCAGTTGATTCGTGCAGCCTCATAGCCAACCCTCCGATCGATGTTGCAGTGCATTGAATCGACAAAAGAACGAGAATTATTTCTGTCGGTAAAAAGCGGAAGGAGGTATCCGATTCGGGTGCGGGGGATCGAACCCCGTCCTGCAATATAAATGAAATATTATTATATGACCAACATTAGCTGCCGTGCGCCGTACACCACACCCGATTTATGCATTGTGTGTGAGCCGTGGTGGGTGTGGTCGATGGTATACGACACTTATGATATTTACTTTACTTCGTCTGTGTCCATGATGGGTACATATTGTCTGTCGTCCCCGGGGCTCAGCGGCGTAGGAACCCGAACATTTCTGAGATCGCTACACAAATATTAAACCAACTAGTTATATATGGTGAACTGAACTCCAGGCGATTTCGGAAAAAAAAAAAAAGAAAAAAGCTGTCAGCAGACTCAGTCATTTCGGGGTAGGGAGTCGAACCCAGTTCGCGTTGGCAGCCTGCGGGACGAGTCGCTGCCGCCGCGGTGCGCCACACCCGATTCCTGATAAGTACTTAGCTGAGGAGTGGAGTATCACAATTAATCGCAAGTGGGGACAAATGTCGAGGGGAAACCGACCCTCGCAGGTGAGTATGTATTTTTGTATTTACATCAATTCCACGCTCAGCAGGGGGCCCATCCAAACTCGGGGGCGGAAAATTCGACGTCCGGTTGTTCAGAACAGTTCCCGTTCTCGTTCTTGCGATGCCCCGCGGCTACATAGCCCTCTCGAAAAAAAATTGCTTTCGATCCAATCATACTTGTAACTTATTTTCATGGTGGCACGCACGATCACATTAATCGATGCGCCATCGACAATCGACAATCGACAATCGACAATCGACAGCGTATATACCGCCGCTGGCCATGGGATGTGTTTTTCTTCGCGCATCGATATCGATAGTTATCGTGTTTAGCGGGTGATTAAACTGAAGGGAGGAGGAGGGTCAGGAGGGTGTGTGCGTGTTTTCGATGGGGCGGCGTTGTTTTTAGGCTGAATGAACTCTGAAGCTCTATATTCGAGACGGGCGGACCTACATACGTAGCCACGGGGAAACCGTATGAGCCTTGATAGTGAATGAAGTGTGGGTCCACCCGCGCCGGCCGTACCTTGGTCTATAAGCTATACAAGTCATACTCAAGAATCGAGATTTGAGATTTGAGATCCACGGGGGAGCTGTGGAAACGTGTCGAATCGAATCGAATCGAATCGTGGTGGATCTAGGAAAGCTTGGCTGCGGATTATCGCAAGGCGGAAGCAACCTCGTATATATAGTCTAGTTTAGTCTGCCAGAAGAGACGAGACGTGGCAGGAGGCACGGCGCGCGGAGATCGCTCCCCGGGTTGCAATTGATGGACGATGGACGATGGATTGATCGAGGTTGGAATGTGGGGCAGACAGGGTCCATTTTCCGTGTTATAAAAAGGAAGACAAGCGCAGGCCAGGGCCGGGACGGGGACGGGGATAGTCCGGTGTATATGGGAATGGGGAGATCGACGGGTGCATCCGAAGAAGCTATTTGAGGGTCGGTGTAGGTCCGCGAGCCAGCCACAACCCCGGGTGAATTCGAAAATAGAAATAAGACCCGGAGCAGTGCCTGCGGGGAAATGTCGCGTCGGGCGGTGCTGGGATGGTCCGAGTCCTGGAATGTAGAGTTAGACCCCGAGCCGCGCGCGATGGCTACCAGGCGGGTTGGATGCGGCTCGAGTAGAATTAAAACCCAAACTGTGGGCGGAAGATCCAGGGCGAGAAGGGAAGTCGCGTCGCTGGCCTGTCCTCGCGGGAGAAGCGCGTCTTAACCCCGTGGTGGCTGCACCCTCAGGCTGCTGCGCAGTGGGTATTTGAGGAAAGCTGCCGGAAAAGGGGCACAAGGGCCGGAGGACCGTTCCAGTTAATTAATTGAGCACGCTGCGTCATGCGGATCCGGATTTCGAGTGTTCGACGTCGAAGTCGCTGGATGGGTATGGGGCGCCCGACAATCAGGGTGCAAGGCGGGTCCTGTGGCGAAAAACGCGCACCGGGGATCGGCGCGATAGGTATCAGCTGCAGCCTGCGTCCAGGTCGAGTGGGCGTTGTGGACGTTGTGGACGGTGGCGGCCGTATTTTGAAATTGACTACTTATGGGCCCGCAGTTGCCATCCACCCACGCATGGTTGGGGTGAAACCGAAATCGGAAGTAGCATCCGGGGATATGCGAGCCGATAGCCGGTGTTTGTTTGGGGTCCGTGCGCTGGCTTAAGGCGTTGTGTGTGGTGTCAACTGTGGTCAACAGAACCCTCACCCCCAACCACCATGATCCCCCGTATACACCGTCTATAGCGATGTACTTGGTGCAATAACCACACGCCGTCCGTCGCTGGCGGGGCTTGCTTCGCTCAGCTTGCTCGCCGTCTACAGCATCCACCACAAAAATGGTATTTTTCTCTTTCTTTTATGACGAGGGGCTGACAGTGCGCAGGTTCTAATCAGTAGCAAGAAGTACGCCTGGTGAGTGTCTTTCCGGTGCTGAGCGCAAAGGCTGAGGGGTATTTCACCAGTGAAACATGCATAAAGGGTCATCGGTCGTCCGCCTGCAGGCACACCGACCGGCCGCTTTTCGAGATTAAAAAGAAGGGCCGGCCAGTGACGCAGTGCGAACACTGCAGAGAGTTACGAAAAACAAAACAAGTCCATGTCAAGTGTATATGTGAAGCGAAGGAACCATCCCCCTCCATCGCCCCAAAGAAGAAAGGTATGTTTTGGAGATATTCACTGGCGGTGCTAATACTTTTGTTGCAGGTACGTCGACGCTCCCGGCGCACGCTGCGTTCCCGCACGGCGTGCCCGACGCAGGGTCGGCGACCACGTCAGACTCGGACCACGGGGGTATGCCTGCTGCTTGCTGCCCCTGACCTTCCCAGCGTCCGATTGCTGAACATTCTATAGGGTCGACTCAATCGGCCTCAGCGTCGGGCTGCAGCTGTCTAGTCACCGGCGGCGCGTGCCACTGCTGCACCCCGCGCACCCGCCCCGGTGCCCGCCGCCGCTCCGAACCCCCGCTCCCGACGGGCCTCAGCGCCCTTAGCGCCCCCACATCCAACAGTCCGACCCTCCCATCCCCATCGAACATCATCCAGAATGCACAATGCTGCAGCACCAACACCTCCCCCGCCCTCCCGCCCACGCCACATCCCACCCCGAACCCGTCCCCGAACCCCGCCATGCCCGCCCGCGCGCAGAGCCACCACATCCTCGCGCGCCTCGCCGAGCTGCGCCCCGTGCTCCCGCGCCTGTCCGCGCGCGACGCCGCGCTCATGCAGGGCGCCGCGGGGCAGCACGACCTCTTCCACCACTCGCCCGGGCACCACCACCCCGCTCACGGCCACGGCCACGGCGAGAACGCACTTCTCGCCGTACGGCCGCGCGTACGAGCACGCCTTGGCGATGCACCCCGACGGCGACGCCAGCACCGGCAGTGCGGGCTTCTATCGGCAGGTACCATTCCATTTCATCGATTGCGAGATTACGACGGTGGGCTAATGGATGACGTGGATAGGACGGCCGGAGCGTCGAGTCGCTGCTGAGCATCAGCTCGCTCGCAAGCGTTACGAGCCACCGCAGCGCGGGCGGCGGCGGCGGGCATCACAGCCAGAAGAGCGTGAGCCAGAAGAGCCACAGCCAGAAAAACCCCTCGTTCGACGGCGGCACCACCACCTCCGCCTCCGCCTCCGCCTCCACCTCCACCACCTCCACCTCGTCGTTCTTCCCGCCCCCCAACCCCAAGCCGGGCGAGACGGGCATGGACTGGCGCCTCCCGCCGAGCCTCTCGCGCTCCGCAGGGGACGCATACCCGGGCGCGTCCGAATCCCGCGCCATCGTACGACGCCGCGGGCGCGAGCGCCCGGCCGCGGTCGGAAAGCGGCGTTGGGGACCGGGATCGCGATCTTTGGGGGTCTTCTTTCGGGGGTAACGCGGGCACCGCCGCCGCCGAGAACAACAATGCCGTCTTCGCGCCGCGGCCCCGCTCTGAGGCCGCGGCGGGCTCCAGCGCGCAGAATAGCAATAACGCGGGCGCGGCGTATGTGCGCGGCGGGGGCGTGCGCGCGTGCGGGTGCGGCGCGGGGTGTGCGTGCCCGGGGTGTGCGCTGCACGGCGTCGCGTCGTCCGGCGGGAGCGGGAACGGCAGCGGGATGCGCAGCCCCGCGGGCGGAGGGAGGCACTGCGCGGACCCGGCGCAGTGCGGCGGCGCGTGCCTCGACTGCACGATGCTCGGGCTGCCGGACTACGGCGCCGTGGTGGGCTTCGGCGCGGGCGGCTCCGACAAGGACGGCGGCGGCAAGGCGGGGGCGGGGTACCCGTTCGGCGTCGACGGCGACGGCGGGGGGGAAGCAGCTCGCGCTGGACGGGTACCCGGGCGACGCCGCGCTCGCGTACCGGAAGGCGTACAGCGCGGACCTCGGCGAGCTGGACGGGTACCCCCGCGACCTGGAGCTGGAGGGGTACGACCTCGAGCTGGACCTCGCGCAGGAGGGCGGGGGCGGGTACGCCCTCGACCTCGGCCGCGACATGGACGCGCTGGAGCTGCAGCGCCAGAGCGCGGCGATCGACGAGTGGATCCGCGAGGTCGGCGCGCTGCCGCTCCCGCCGCCGCCGCCGACGCCGTCCGCCGGGCAGCAGCCGTTCGAGTTCGAGCACGGGTTCGACGGGGGCGCGGGCGCGGGCGCGCGCGGCGGGGGGGTGAAGCTCGAGTTTGATGTTGATGCGATGGGGATGGACTTTGATGTGGGGCCGCCGTGGGTGTTCGACGTGGGCGTGGGTGTGGGCGGCGCGGAGCCCGACGCGCCGGACGGTGCCGGGGACGTGCCCATGCGCATGCAGGGGCTCACCGGCGCCGACGCGCCCGTGCCGCACGCGGCTGAGCACGCGGCGTTCCTCACCGTCCCGGGGCCCGTCGCGGGCGCGCACGGGCGCAGCCGCAGCTCGAGCTCGGCGTCGTCGGAGGTGTCGATGCCGGGCGGCGGCGCGGGCGCGGGCGCGCACATGGGCGCGGCCGGCGCGGGGCTCGGGCACGGGCTCGGGCTCGGGGCGCGCGGCGGGGGCGCGGGCGCAGGGCTGGGCGGCGCGATGGTGCTGCCCGCTGCGACCGCGCCGCCCGTGCCTGCGCTGCAGTTCTCCCCCCCGCTGCCGGCGG